TGAATTATCTTATGCTTTGCTCTATACCTCTAAATAGTTTAATAGGAAATAGGCTCTATAGTGCCAAAGGAATGTTTTTTCTTGTCCTTGCAATGATGGTAGTCTGATGGCCCAGAAAGGAAGAACACTTAGTTTCTCTTTTCCTTGAGTCTCTGATCTGGGCTCCTTCACAAGCCTTACCTGCAGCAGCTCCATTGTTGACCCCTGACATCGACGCTCCAGATCCGAGATGAGCTCTCTCAGTGACTGGCTCTGGTGGACCAGGTCATTCTCAGCCTCTTCTATAATACGCAGCCCCTTCTTCTCTTCCTCCTCCAGCTTTTTCAGCTCCCGCTGCTCCGCTCTGTCTAGGATGTTCCGCAGCTGATTAAACTCTGTCTGGATCCGGTATCTCTCAGGCTCCATCTGATTCTTCAGGAACAGGGAAGAAAAAGAGGCTGCTAGTCTGTTGCACTGAGGGTCTCCCCTATAAAAAGTGAGGGAGTTGCACTCAAGACTGCTTTCCTGGGCCAGGCTCTCTGGGAGAGGGAGGGTAAATGCTGCAGGGAAAAGCCTATGTAGGCTGTTTTTTCCTTGTTTTCTCCCTTCAGCTCTGCCCAGACCATTACCCCCAGGATGCTTTATCTAGGCCTCCTAGATATCAACTGTGATTCCTGGGTGAGGTTTAGATTCCAGGAAGCCTCCCTCACCAATTTTGAGTACTGAGGAAGAAATGACTGGCCTGTGACTAACCTGTTATTCCCAGGAAGCCAAAGAGACTGAAACTATAGAGCAAGATCCAGAATTATGAACTGGGCAACCCCTAACCATGGGTCCTTTGCTATGTGATTGTGTCAGTTCAGTTTTGATATGTTTGCTATTTAGCTCCCCTCTCCTACCCCTGTTTGGAAGGAATACAGTGGAAGACCAGGCAAAGGAAAGCTCTTCTAGCCATGGTATCAGAGGACAGGCAGGACCAGGACTCCTTTGCCTTCAGCTCCTATGACCTGCCCTGATTCCTGCCCCAGGACAGCATCAGAAAATGTCCCCCTTGCCTTCCAGGTTGTCCTCTTCTCTCTGATAAAAGCTGTTAGCTTCTCAGCTTCTTGCTGCTCTTTCTTCAGCTTCTTTAGAGACTCCTGAAACTTCTCCTGGAAGAAACAAATCACGTTAAGCAGGATCAAGCCTTCAGTTGACTCAGTACCCTGACATGGAATGAACAGGACAGAGATTCTGCTAACCTCAAAAGAAGCTTTCCTAACCTAGGATGAAAACTTGAGATAAGGCCAACATATCTTTTATATACAGGGGATGAAAACCAACAGGAATAGGCTGATTCTCCAACCTCCTTGGGAAGGTGCCTGACCACAAAACACCTGTGGCTCATGCCTGTAATCCCAGCACTTTGGGAGACTGAGGTGGGTAGATTGCCTGAGCTCAGAAGTTTGAGACCAGCCTGGGCAACATGGCAAAACCCCACCTCTACTAAACACACACACACAATTTGCTGGGCATAGTGGTGCATGCCTGTAGTCCCAGATACTTGGGAAGCTGGGCACAAGAACTGCTTGAACCTGGGAGGCAGAGGTTGCAGTGAGCCAAGATTGCGCCACCGCACTACAGCCTGGGCGACAGAGCGAGACTCCATCTCAAAATAAATACATGAGTAAATAAATTCCTTTACCTTCACTACCAACGTATCTCCATACTCAATCAACCAAGTACCCCTGTTTCCCCCAGCAGCTCTGTCTACTCAATCTGGTATAGCAAGTAAGAGATAAAGTCTCTACTCTTAATCAGGGAGGAAGCTTCCAGGTTCCTTCTCTAGGTAAATGAAAGGACTATAAAGAAATTAGGTCAGAGGATGACAAAATGATAAAATCTACCAAAGAACCTGTTTCTCCATCTCCCCCTCCACCCTGGGGTCCCACCTGGTATTCCTGGGCAACCTCCTCCATGAGGAACGTGTGGTGACCACGGTGCTCCTCAGACCGTTCACAAAGCCAGCAAATGACCTTCCCATCATCCTTACAGAAGAGCTGCAGCTTTTCTCCATGGTCTGCACAAAGAACTGCTTTCAGCTGCTTCCCAGCGCCCAGCACCACCTCTCTGAGCCTCCCCGCTATGTTGGCCAGATGTCGGTTAGGCCGCAGGCTCCCAAGCTGGTAGCTGGTCTGGCACACAGGGCAGCTTCTTTCCCCTTCTTGACCAATCACTGATTCCCTGCTATTTGTTGTGATGCAGGCTTGGCAGAAGCTGTGGCCACAGTCTAAGCTCAGGGGTTCTGTCAGGAGCTCCAGGCAGATGGGGCAGGTCACCTCTTCTTGTATGTCCACCAGTACTGTTGAAGTCATTGTGGCTACTTTCCTGGCTCCTGCCTGCCCAGCCCTGATTTCTAAGATATCTCCTGCTTGTAGAATCCTAGGTAGGTAAGCAAACAAAAAAGGGTCATGGTAAGAAAGCAGGGAGAAAGAAGGGATACTGACTGCCCAGTCCTGGATAAAGAGGTCAGACACCTGGGTAACAAGGGCTTCTCATTCTAATTGCCAACACGATCTTTATCCTAGCTCACACAAGACAGCAGTTTCTTCCCGTGTTAGAGCAGTGGTTATGATTTCCTCTTGCTCCTATTGAATGGAGTGACAAACTGAAGTCCTGGGAAGGAGGGGCCTGTGTAAGTCACTGTCTGTGTGACCTTTTCTTTTTTCTTTTATTTGAGAAGGAGACTCACTCAGTCACCTAGGCTGGAATGCAGTGGTGTGATCTCAGCTCACTACAACCTCTGCCTCCAGAGTTCAAGCAATTCTGCCTCAGCCTCCCGAGTAGCTGGAATTACAGGTGCACATTACCACACCCAGCTAATTTTTGTATTTTTAGTGGAGACAGAGTTTCACCATGTTAGCCAGACTGGTCTTGAACTCCTGACCTTAAGCAATCTGCCTGCTTCGGCCTCTCAAAGTGCTGGGATTACAGGCATGAGCCACCATGCCTGGCCTGTGTGAACTTTTCTCACCCAAAACATCTCCTCAATGTTAAAAGTGCCCCAAACACACTGCTGCCTCAGAATTTTTGCCTTTGCTGTTCATGATGTAAGGATGACCCTTTACTTTGCTATCTGCATGACTTACTAGCTTCTTAACTATTCTCTTATCAGAAGGGTCTGCTCTGACTAGTCTACTTAAAGCATAGCCACCATACAGTCACTTTCCACGTACTTGCCTCATTATTTTACTTCTTACACCACCTAACATAGATCTTTACTGCCTGAATCCTCTCAATGAAATGTAAGCTCCATGAGATCAGAGGCTGTTTTTGTTCATGGTTGCATCCTTGGCAGCTAGCACAGAGCCTGACATATAGGTCCTCACCTTTTGAAGAATGAAAGGTCAGAACCCCCTCATCCTCAACAATGATTATCTGTGACTTTTCTCATGAGCTCTTTCACCTCTTTGCCATCACTCTGGCATTACTCTCTGGTATCTGATCTCCAAAACTGTGCAAACACTTCCACCTCTTAACAGCCCTGCTCCACATGGAGCTCTCTCACCCAAGAGGCTCCCCTTCTCAGAAAAAAAACAAAAAACAAAGAAACAGCAATGGCTGCAATAAGGGGAGGTAATTTTTTGTTGTTGTTAAGACTGAGTCTTGCTATTGCCCAGGTTGGAGTGCGGTGGTGTGATCTTGGCTCATTGCAAATTCTGCCTCCCAGGTTCAAGCGATTCTTGTGCCTCAGCCTCCAGAGTAGCTGGGATAACGGACAAGTGCCACCACACCCAGCTAATGTTTGCATTTTAGGTAGAAACAGGGTTTCACCATGCTGGCCATGCTGGTCTCGAACTTCTGACCTCAAGTCATTCACCTACTTCGTCTTCCCAAAGTGCTGGGATTACAGGCGTGAGCCACTGTGCCCAGCCTGGGGGGTGGTAATATTTTTAACAACTAATGATTCTGTCACCAGTTGTGATTTAGAAATCACATCCTCCTGCTTTTTCTAACCTTCATGGGACAACTCTGCATAAAAAAGAGTATTCTCGATTCTTCAATAAGAAGAAACATTAAGTGACTTTACAAAATCATGCATCTTGTAAGTTGTAGGATTGGCATAATCTAACCTTTCCAGGGTCCCAGTTCAAAGCTTTGTTCTCAAACTCATAACTTTAACCAAAGACAGTCAGTTGTAAAGGCTGTAAAGGTCAGGCACGGACCAAGTGTTTTGGAAATATGGAAATGGGAGAGATCCTATTTGATGATGGGATTTTGCTGGGGCCTGTCTTAAACTTCAACAGGATCCCAAGGGGACCCATATGTAAGGAGAGGTGGCTGGTAAGGCAGTTGAGGCCTTATATCTTCATTGAGAAATACTATCTTTATCCTCTATTCATTTTTCTTGGAAGGGTTCTGTTGATAAATTACATTACCATTATTCAAAATCACACCGAGAATACTCTTTAGAAATTTTTAAAAACGGTTTCCAGCATTGAGTTATTTTCACTGGGGGACATTTGTTCTGCTTGCCTACCTGGAGTTGTGTTTGGGACACCAAAGAAAAGCCAGCTAACACTGCCTATTTGAAGGTGCTCTGGCCATGGTCCCATGTGTGACCGTGTTGTACTGGACAGGCCACAGTAGGTAGGGAGCAGATGGAATTCTCTAATTTGTCTTTGGCTGGTTTCCCAGCAAAAACAAATGTATATTGATGTAAAAAACATGGTCTGTGTGGGACTAAACACAGGTCCTGTAAATTGTACCAATTTACCCCCATCTTGAGGGCCTGATATATTTAAAAAGTATATCGAATTGCCTCTTAATAACAACACTCCCTCTAGAAGAAAGGGCCCAAGAAAGTGTCTCAGATAAGGGCAAGAAAAAGTCACCGGACATAAGCATAAGCCTTCTAGTGGCCCCGCTGGAGGATCCAGTGAGCTGAAAACAGGTCCTCGGTGCTGCCATCTAGTGTTCTATGGTGCTCCTGCAAGTACTGGCCTGGGTCTTCAGCTTTGCCATGCTTAGTAGCAGCAAAGCTCACAGCAAATATTTACAGACCATTATGTACTCAGCAAAAATTAACTTATTTTGAATGGAATAACTCAATAATTCCATATAACAACATTATGAATGCCCCTTAAATCTCATTTCATAGTTGCATAAACTGAGATTTAGTAGATCCTTCAAGTGGTGGGGCCGGTTTTGAATGCAGACCCACAGGCTGCAGAGCTGGAGCTCTTATTACTCTTTATATTCCTCATCTCCATAAAGCGTGAAAAATATACTTTTTAACAAATTAATGAACTCTGTACATCTAACTGGCAGTACTAATTCATATGACAGCTGTATGTGCCTATCATCTGAGACGTTTTACCTGAATTAATCACATCTATGGGAGCTGCATTATTATTTCCTTTGTTAATATCGCCTACCATACCCATATCGTCTCACTTAGCACATTGCACTATAAGGCTCTATTGCCTTTGATAAAGCATTATGAGGGCAGAGGCCCAGTCTCACTTTATCTTCCAGGTGCCCTAGACCTTAGCACTGCAACTAACACAGGAAATGATCAATTAACTTTACAATGGATTGAACATTACAACTTTCTGCTGAGCTTACAGTTGTCCTTGATGTTGGCATTAGAGTATAGAAATAAATGCGCTATCTTATGAAATTGTTACTGTTAAAAAATAATTGTGTTGATATTATATTACTATTATTATTTTTCAGACCAAGTCTCGCTCTGTTGCTATGCTGGAGTTCAGTGGTGTGATCTTGGCTCACTGCAACCTCTGCCTCTGGGGTTCAAGTGATGCTCCTGCCTCAGCCTTCCGAGTAGCTGGGACTACAGGCACGTGCCACCACACCCAGCTAATTTTTGTGTTTTTAGTAGAGACAAGGTTTCACCATGTTGGCCAGGATGGTCTTGATATTTTGGCCTCGTGATCTGCCCGCCTCAGCCTCTCAGAATGCTGGGATTATGGGTGTAAGCCGCCATGCTCAGCTTGATATATTTTAACTGAAAGTCCAATTCCAGTCCATCTTCCTCAACAAACACATGGACAATTTCATTTCAGACAAAACTGTACTTAGTACACCCAATTCCCTTGGAGAATTACTGCCTCATAAATGGAATGTAGTAAAAGCTCCAAACTGGAAAGAATCCATGAGATCACTAACTGGTAAATGAACAAACTGTGCTGTATCCATACAATGGCTTATTACGAAACAAACTGCTAATACATACAACAAGATAAATCTCAAAAGCATTATCTAAAGTGGAAGAACCCAGACATCAAATTTAAGTTACTGTATGATGCTATTTATATGAAATCCTAGAAAAGAGAAAGCTATAGTATTTGAAAGCACATCAGTGGAAGCCAGGGCCCAGGAGTGGGAGAAGAAGATGAACTGCAAAGGGCATAAGGAAATTTGAAGGACGATGGAAATACCCTTTATGTATCATGATCATGGTGGTGGTTACACAACTGACTACAATTGAAAACTCACAGAATTGTATGTTATGCTTAAAATTTGTAACTTATTAGATATAAATTATAACTCAATAAACCTGACAGGAACAAAAAAATACAAGAAAAATTAAAGGCTTGGTTTATTATCTTCAAAGCATAATGGAACTGTGCTGTTAAACATGGAGCCACATGTGGCTACTGAGCATTTGAAGTGTGGCTACTCAGAAATGGGATGTTTTAAGTACATAATACACATTGGATTTTGAAGATTTAGTTTAAAAAAATTAAACTATCTTATTAATATTTTTTTATAATGATCATATCATATCCTAACAGGATTTTGCATATGTTGGATTAAATAAAATATATTAAAATGAATTTTGCCTGCTTATTTTTAATGAGGTTACTTGAATATGTAAAATTACCTATCTGGCTTCATTCTATTTCTATTTGATTACATGTCTTTTTTTCTATGTAATACACTACTTTAGATATTCATCTCATAATATTACTCTGCTTTAGAGAAAAATTCTTGAGCAGAAAAAAGATGTGAGAGTTGAGGTCTCTTGTGAAAGTTGAGGCTTGGGAAAGAATTGTGAAGGAGGGAAGCATACATTTAGATTAGATTTGAGTGACCCTTGCCCACACACCGGTAGCCCTTACTGCCCACTGCAGCTGAGTGCAGCCCAAGGGAGATATGGGAGGCTGCCAGTTTCCAACTGAGACCAAGTCTCCAGAGCAGTGAGAGAAGGCATTCTGATGGTGAGGAGTGCAGACCAGGAGAGCCTGCAGACCCAGAGCCCAGTGGATCAAATTAGCAGTAGAAAGAGCCCAAATTCATGACCAGGTGGGATCAATTAAATCAGAACCAGATGCCAGAAAAAGTCTGCTAACTAGCAACACTGCAACCACTTGTCTTTCCTGGAATGATTCAGAATCTACGCTTTAATAAGTTCTCTGGGTGATTCTTATGTACATTAAGGCTTCAGAAGCACTGCCCTAGAGAAAGGACTCTCTTTCCCAAAAGTGGATACCATTTAGGGCGCAAAACAGCTAGAAGAAGGAGGGGGACAGAGAATGGCTTTCTATTTAGATATGAAGCATCTACTAGAGTGGAAGCTCAGATTGATATCAAAATGGCTTTCAAACTAAAAATCAGTGACTGAACAGGGAATACCGGGGCTGGTGTAGGCTGGAGGTTCAGAGTTCAGAATGACAGGGCAGGCCTGTCCACCAGCAGGGAGCTCTAGTGAAAGTGGAATAAAATAGGTGGCAATTGCATTTATAAGTGAGTTGGGCATGAGTTCTTGCACTTTAGGAATAACATTAAAAAAAATCTTTATGTAGGGTTATATTTAACGTATTATCTGGAATTGATTATCTAACAGATAGGACTCAATAAATATTTGAATTGGAATATGGTTTCAAAAAAATTTAATTTCCACTTCAAAAGCATATCTACTCCCTGCATTTCAGAAACCTATAATTTAAAAATTGTTTTGATTGGGCATTTTTTTTAAAGCTAGGCATGGAGTTTGCCAGTAATAATGACCATAATTTCAACATCGTCAGGCAGCCTTCTACGTGTTTAAATCTGTCTCACTGAATCCTCACCAAAACTTTAGGATATACACATTACTCCGTCCGCTTTGTAGACGGGAAAAACCAAAGCTCAAAGAAGTCAGGTTAACAGTCTTTGGGCACACAGCCAGTGTCTGTCAGAGTCAGGATTTGAACAGTCTGGCTGTGGCAACTATGGTCCTAACCACACATTTCTGTCTCTGTTGAATGATTAAATAAAATGTCTCTAACTTCAGTGGGCTCACTTGCAGTGAGGAAGAAAAATAAATAAAGATAAAATTATCTATATAATGAGTTCCGAAAGGGAAAGGACCTGTCTCTTTCACTGCTCTGTCCCCTCTGCCAGAAGTGACAGTAAGAGCCAGTCAACAGAAAGGCAGACATCCCTCTCCGACTGGCACACCTGGGGAACGAGAAGCCAGACAAATTCCAGATGTAAGCAGTATCAGGTGGTCAAAGCTCTTCAGAGCAATCCAAGGCGTCTTAAACTAATTTTAAGGAACAGAGCGCGCTCACTGGTCTTCCATCTAAACTCAACTACGCATGTCTCCGCTCCGGTGCGAGAAAGGCAGGGACTCCCTCCTCCGCCAGCCTTTGGCCTTTGAACAGACAGACCCACAGGTCTAGAGACTGCGGAAGGCTCATCTCCCAACTCCCTCTGGGAGACTCCTCCCAGGGGCCGCCTGGGATGGAGGATAAATGGTGCTGACTTCCTGGAGTGGCCGGGCAGGAGATGGGGGAGGGGATAGGGGGAAGGGATGCTGACCCTGAATCCACGCCTGACACACGGTTTGCCGCGACTCCCTAACGCGAAGTTTCCAGAGCTGCCTCCCTTACATAACTTTAGCTTCTGGAATCGAGGTTTAACTCTCACTATCCTTTGCACGGCCTATTCCCAGCTGCAAAGGTGCCTCTTCTGTGCTCCCTCCCCAAACTTAAGTCAACTCAAAACTGCAGAAGTCTCCCTCACTCTTCTTCCACCCGTGAACCCCCAACCCGACCTACAGGGCGGGTCGAACTCTCCAGACAAGTAGGGACAGTGATGGCTAGCCAGAAAATGAATTTGCTCACTAACCTGGAATCTGCGGTGTGGATCAGAGCCGAGAGGCAGCAGCCACGTCCTCCACCCAACCCGAAAGACTCAGGGGGGAAGGGGCGGGACCAGGGGAGGAGGAGGGTCAAATTGTCCGCACCGCGGGACAGCCACCGGATTCCATAGGTGTGTGGTCACCAGTGCCCATCAGGTGGTAAGGGAGATCAAGATAGTTTTGAAAGGCGGCAGTGCAAAGCTGTTCATCTTACCTGAGGAACGGCAAATCCGGAGGCCTTTGAGAACACCCGAAGGCCAGAGATGACCCTTGTAAATTGTCTGCAGTGTACTGTAGGTTTCCAATCATAACAGAGTTTAATCACACTGATAATACACCTGTACTCCATATAAACATATTAATTTAAATATCTAAATTTAAAAAAATAAAGTTATACAATTGAGTAAAAGATAACCCCTTTGCATAGTGACATCTTGCAAGACGATCATTAAAATTTATCAGTTTAAAATACATATATATATATGTATAAAGCTATGTGTGTGTATCTGTAATTCTGACCTATATAACTAGAAGACAATAAATCTTTGTTTTTCTTTAGGTCTGTGAATACATGTAAAGCTTATAGAGCCTCAGAACTCTATAGGGTTTCAATAGCACAAAAGCTCTGAGAAGAAAAGGATGTCAAAGCTCCTCCCTAAGGAGACTGATTAGATGAGGATCACCTGGCTTAGAAGGTGGATTGGGGAGGGAGGTGTAGAGAGAGGAGGGACTGGGGTGTCCAGATAAAAGTGAGGACAAAGGATTGGGCAATTGGGAGAGAACTGAGTTAAGTATAAAGAGGTTTCTCTGAACAGTCCCCAGGCAAATGGAAGGTCACTAAAATCTCATAATAAGAAGTGGAGACACGTGTCACTATTTCAGTGAGTACCTCATGTCCGCAGGCTTACGTAGCCACGCAAAGGGTATTTCAGAATACCCCTTGTGTGGCTTTCTTCACAAGGGTTTTAGGTATGGCTGCCTCCATATTGCCCATGGGTGATGCTGTGGGTCAAAGCCTGCTTATGCTCTGAGATTCTCCTGGCCCCACCCAAACTGTTCAGTATGGACACCAACCTGTCACTGGCCCAGCCCACATTTAAGTCCCTTGGAATACAAAATGGTAGGATTGACACCCAGAGGGTTAGAAGTATTAGAGAAGTGATGGAGAAGCCCAACCCAGAGTCCCTTCTCAGGCCAATTTCTAAGAGCTAATATAAATGGAAGTAACTTACAGACTCCATAGTCTTCTCAGCATAGAACTTCATTTCTGGGGCCAGAAGGCTCAGTTAAAAAGAGGATGTTGTTTGGGCATGGTGGCTCGCTAATAATCCCAGTATTTTGGGAGGCGGAGGTGGAAGGATAGCTTGAATCCAGGATTTTGAGGTCAAGCTGGGCAACATAGAGTGAGCCTGTCTAAAAAAAAAAAAAAAAAAAAAAAAAAAAGAAGAACATAAAAAAAAAAAAAAAAAAAAAAAAAAACAGGAAAATTAGCCAGGCATGTGCCCATAGTCCCAGCTACTTGGAAGGCTGACAGGTGGGAGGAACACTTGAGCCTGGCAGGTCGAGGCTGCAGTGAACCATGATCCTGCTACTGCACTCCAGCCTCTGTGACACAGCAATAACCAGTCTCAAAACAAAAAGAAAACGAAACCCAAAAAACAGAATAAAAGGCTGTTTCTCGGTGTGAGGAGGTTTTTTTTTGTTGTTGTTGTTATTTGTTTGCTAACCAAGGCAGTTTTTATTTTCTCTCTAATTTCTCATCTAGAACAGGGAGACTGGGCATTCTGACGGTTGAGAAGAAATGAAGGTACTTGGCAATAATTCATGGGGTCTCAGAAAGTTAGATATAAATTTACCATATGATCCATCAAGTCCACTCATAGGAAACTACTCAAGAGAAATGAAATCATGTCCATGCGAAGATTTGTACACAAATGTTCATAGCAGCTTTACTCATATTAAAAAATGGAATTAACCCTACTGTTCATCAAGTATTGAATGGAGTGTGGCGATTCCTCAAGGACCTAGAAATAGAAATTCCATTTTACCCAGCAATCCCATTACTGGGTAGATATCCAAAGGATTATAAATCATTCTACTATAAGGACACATACACACGAATGTTCATTGCAGCACTGTTTACAATAGCAAAGACCTGGAACCAACCCAAATGCCCATCGATGATAGACTGCACAGGGAAAATGTGGCACATATACACCATGGAATATTATGCAGCCATCAAAAATGATGAGTTCGTGTCCTTTGTAGGGACATAGATGAACCTGGAAATGATCATTCTCAGCAAACTGACACAAAAACAGAAAATCAAACACCACATGTTCTCACTCATAGGCAGGTGTTGAACATTGAAAACACATGGACACAGGGAGGGGAGCATCACACACTGGGGTCTGTCAGGGGGAAATAGGGGAGGGACAGCGCGGGGTGGGGAGTTGGGGAGAGATAGCATTGGGAGAAATGCCAGATATAGGTGATGGGGAGGAAGGCAGCAGATCACACTGCCATGTGTGTACCTATGCAACTACCTTGCATGTTCTTCACATGTACCCCAAAACCTAAAATGCAATTAAAAAATAAAATTAAAAAAAAAGTATTGAATAGATTGAAAAAGTATTCCCAATACAGTAGAATACATTAGTGTTAAAAGGGAACCAAGCATGTGGGATTCAGAGGTTGGTGGGGTGATGTGATGCATCCAGTAGGACAGGTTTGAAGGTAATGAAGGCACAGATTTGCTAACAGCCCCAAGTCCCTGAGTACTCAGCATACTTGCAGCTCTAGGCTCAGAACCCACTGCTGCAGTTCTAGACTCAGGGTGGTATCAAGGGATCCAGCCTGTTACTATAACAATATATTAAATGCTCATTATATACTAGAAGTATTGTTTAGTGCACAGGTTGAGGTGTCAAGATTTCCTAATAGCAGTAAGTGGACATTAACATTTGATAGGAAAGAGGTTTCAGGAAAACAAGCAGGACCATGACAAGGGTCACAGAACATTCTCACAGGCAAATAGAGAAAAAAAGATATACATATAAACTCAGGATGTAGATTTTCTGTGAGTAAATCTCTAATACACTTCTAATATATTTTCTTTCAAGAAATCTCTAATATGTTCACAGGAGGTAGACTTCCTGGAAAAAAATGTCTGGTATATTTTATCAGTACAACTTGTTTGAAAGCAGTGTTAGATGATTCCTGTGGTCAGTATTTCCCCTCCTCTCATGGGAAACCCTCCTTAATTCATTACTACCAGTTGGGAGCTGATGGGAAGAAAGGAAAGGAAAAAAGTAGATGTTGCAAGGCCGAGATTAAGACTCAGGATAGTTTATGCTTGAGAATTCAGGATAGGCTTACCTGGATTTTCTGAAAGAAAAATTGTTAACCTCTGATTAGAGGAGGAACTTCAGTAAAACCAAAGAAAAACAAATTTCAGTGAGAAAGATTTCTTGTTCCAGAGGCTTAGGGGTGTAGTAGAAACAAGCTACCAATTTTGTTTTCAGATGCTTCTGATCATCAAACACGGACCCACTTAATGTATGTTTTTTTCTCCTTCCTCCCTCTCTCTCTCTTTTTTCCACCCTTCTTTCCTTCTTGTTTTCCCTACTTTCCTCTCATTTTTCCTTTTTTCCTTCCTTCCCTCTTTCCCTCCTTCCTTCCTTCTTTCCCCTTCCTTCCCTTCCTTCCTTCCTTCCCTCCCTCCCTCCTTTCTTTTTCTTTCTTCCTTTCTTTCTTTCCCTTTCTTTCTTTCTCTTTCTTTCTTCTTTCTTTTTCTTTCTTTTTTTCTTTTTCTTTCTTTCTCTTTCTTTCTTTCCTTCTTTCTTTCTTTCTTTCTTTCTTTCTTTCTTTCTTTCTTTCTTTCTTTCTTTCTTCTTTCTTTCCTTCTTTCCTTCTTTCTTTCCTTCTCTCTCTCTCTCTCTCCCTTCCTTCCTTCCTTTCCTTTCTCTCTCTCTCTCTCTCTCTCTCTCTCTCTCTCTCTCTCTCTCTCTCTTTCTTTCTTTTCTTTCTTTCTTTCCCGAGATGGTCTCACTCTGTTGCCCTGGCTGGCATGTAGTGGTGTGATCTCAGCTCACTTTAGCTACAAACTCTCAGGCACAAGCAATCCTTCCAGTTCAGCCTCTCAACTAGCTGAGACTAAAGACACACACCACCACGCCACACTAATTTCTGTTTATTTTGTAACGATGAGATTTCACTGTGCTTCCCAGGCTGTTCTCAGATTCCTGGACTCAAGTGATCCGCCCACCTCAGTTTCAAAAAGTGCTGGGATTACAGTTGTGAGCCACTGTGCCGGGCCCCATCTTTCCTTTGATATTTTCTATTTTCTTCCTTCCTTCCTTCTTTTTTAAAATTTATTTTGTTCTTTCTTTTCAGCAGACACATATTAAATCATATATGTTGTGTTGCACAGTATTTAAGATGATAGACTCTGGAACCAGTTTTGCCAAGATTCAAATCCTAGCTCATTTACTTACCATGTGTATGATTTGTGGAATTTTCTTAACCTCTTTTGGGCCTCGGTTTCCTTATCTGTAAAATACCTACTGTGTAGAGTTATTGTGAAGACTAAATATGTAAGTATATGTAGAGCACTTAGGACAGCCCCTGAGACACAATAGATCATCAATTAGTGATAGGCAGCATTGTTAACTATAATGAAGTAGCAAGCATTTGGCAGGGCTCTGGAGTAATATCAATGAATAAAACATGAATTTTGCTGTGTGTGTATTTACATTCTAGTCAATTTGAAGAAAATCAAACGAATCACTTAAATATAGCTTTTTGTTTGTTTCTTATTATATCATTTTCTCGAAATCTCCTTTCTAGATAATCCCATCCACTTTCCTAGCTGACAAAGCCCTAGCATTAACTATAGATCTGACCTCTTTTGGGCTCCAGAGTCCATGTGAGTAACTCACAGGTAAAACAAAAACAAGATGTTGTAACCTCAGCAGACTAGCCTGGTTCAACTTTTATGTGTCAAAGTTGTGAGCTGTTTTTCAGTTGCCATAGCATCCTGAGCTAAAGGTCACATAAC